GTGATATGTTTTATTAAACATCAAAAAAACATCTAATAATTAATATTTTAAAAAATAATTTGCTAATTTTTAATGATTATTCTTTAAGAAATCAAATAGCAGAATTTAATTCAGAATTACAAATTATTCAAAAAGCAAAACTTATTGATGTTAAAAGAAATAATAATTCTTCCTTTAAAGATTCATTTGTTAATTTAAGAAATCCAGCTAAATCTCAAATTAATAAATTAAAATCTTTAGAGAAAAAAGTTTCATTATTTCTATTATCAATTTTTGATAAAATTTATCAAAATTTAGGAAATACAAAGCAAATTAATAATAATAAATATCCAAAATTTTATCTTCCAAGTTTTGATATAGAAGTAAATATTAAAGTACTTTCTTTAGCTTAGAATACACAAAAAAATCTGCTGATAATAAATTTTATGATACAGATAGTTGCTTATTACCAAATTATATAGAATTATTTAATAGAATTACTTTAATTTGTGAACATAATTTTCATAAAAAAATGTTTAAATACTCTATTTAATAATAAGTATTCTTATTATTTTAATTACATTTCATTTGAAATAAAAAGAAATATTAAAAGTTTAAATAAGAGATTTTTTACACCTTTAAAAGAAAATGAAATTCCTTTATTTGAAGGTAAAAATAATGATTTAAATGAAAATAATGATAATAATAATGAAAGTATAGAAAGTATATTAGAAAAAATAGAATACAATATAAAAAATCAATACAATATAATGTATCAAAAATGGCTAAATTATGATTGAATTTAAATTAGATTTAATAAATTTTAAATTTTAATCATTTTTAAATTGTATAAAATTAATACTTTTATATGCTAAATATTATGAAGTTATATGTATAATTTTAGTATATGTTATATGTAAAATATTTTAATCAGAGATAATTAACATAAAATATATATTGATTTTACATTTTTTATATAATTACAAAATGTTGCTTCTAGTAAAACTTATTAAATAATTAGATTTTGATAAAAATTTGATATTATATTTTTTTATATTAATATAAAGTTATAAGTAAAAAATCAACTTGTATTATTATGTAGAATTTTTCAATCAGAGCTAATTAGCATAAAAAATACATTGATTTTGACACTTTTTTTTATGTAATTGCAAAATGATACTTCTAGTAAAATTTACTCAATAATAATTATTTTTTAATCAAATTCAGTATTTTATTTTTTTATAATTATATAAAGTAACTTGTAAAAAATTAGCATATATTATTATGTATAATTTTACAATCAGAGTTAATTAACTTAAAAAAATAATTGATTTACAGTATTTTTTATATGTGATAAAATAAAATAATGATTGGTAAAAGATCAGTAAAAGATTGATAAAAAGATCAGCAAATTGTAATATAATTAAGCATATTCATTATGTTTATATTAAGTAATCACTGAGTTTGACTTGACAAAATTTGTCCTTAGCAATTTTTTATATTCTACTAGATGAAAATTTGTTCTATAAATCAAACCCAAGAAGAGCTCTTCCATAGATATATTCTATATCATTAGTTTCATTTAGTCAAATCTATTCTGACTAATTAATAATTTCTTGTATAGTTCTCAATACTTTTATGATCTATTTATAAATAAAGTATATAATTATTTTTTTGAATTTTGATTATATAATAAAATTAATCACAAACCTTAAGAACAATTAGATTGAATATATGTTATATAAGTACTCATCAGATCTTTTATTACTTTTTCAATATTTTTACCAGATGTAATATCATATTCTAGTTTCATATATCTTTAAATTATATGAGTTATCTTACAAATAAATAAATAATTTTATAAATATAATTTTTTCAAATTAAAAATATCAAATATTTATTATCTGTGTATAATAAAAGTTTATTATTGTCTTTACCTTTTCTATTCTAAAAATATCCAATTTTTATACTAATATTATATTATTTCTTCTAGTATGATAAAATAATTATCAATTCATTATTATGATAATGAGGTTTATTATCATAGATTATGGTAATCTATAATGGTTTTTTTTAAGAATTTCTATTATATTATGTAATGAGAAAACAGTAAATCAGGCATTCTATTTTGTATTATTAGATCAGTGATCAAATGCCTAAATATCTAAATTATGTATTTCAAAAATTTTTAGTATAAATGAGTATTAAATAAAAATTCTAATCACGTTTGCCAAAAAATTTAGATTTTGTCTTTCTTGCGTTCTTAGAAAAAATTCTCATTTTATAGTCTAAAATTAATAAAGTACTACCTAAATCAAGTTGGAGGAAATTTGAATTTAACTGAGTATTCAAATATGTTTTTTGAATATAATGTAATATAAAGAATATTAGTTGTTTTTGATAGTTTGATGTTACATTACATTCAGATTATTTGCAATTTTTCAAAAAATTCACAATTTTGACAGATTTTCAAATGATTTTAATCACAATCACTAAATATATATCTAAGATAATAATTCACACAAGAAACATGAACAGCATTTTCTATATCATCACTTTGTAATTTTTTGATAAAATCTTTATGAAGGTATCATTTTAAAATTTGTCATTTATTTATCAATTTTTTATTTTTTATTTATTATTATATTGTATATTAGTAAGTCCTAAATTAATTTTTTATATAAAAAATAAATAATAAACTTACCCAAATGTCTAGATCTGTAACATATATTTTAATAATTTTTTCAATTTTAACAAATACTAAATAGTCACATTCATTACGTGTCATACATAATTCTTTAAGATCTTTTTTATATTAGAAATATTCTTCTTCTAAATATATCATATATGATATATATTGCATTTTATCAGAGTATTGCTTATGAAATTTTTTTTATAATAACAGTTTGTAATCTTAAAGATATAACACAGGTAATCTGATTTTTATTATTAGTCTTATATAAGCTTATATTTATATTTTTTTTATTTACAAAAAATAATTTAAATTGATTTAGCATTTCCTCCTTTAGCTTAACATGATGAATAATTAACTTTAATAATGAAATTGTACTATAATTATTAATTTGTACATGTTTTTTAGATTTAGAAATAATATGTCTTCTAACTTTTCAATATATAAAGTAATAATTGATTATTAATTACATTTTAGTAATTTTTATTACAAACAATTATACCTATATTCAAATTTGTTTCCAATTTTAAATAAGAAATTCATCTGCAATAATTGATAAAATTCTACATTTACTATCACAATTTTGTTTATATCATTCAATACATATTTAAAAAAATTCTAAAATCCTTAGTTTTATTTGGTATGTGAATAGGAATGCTGATAAAAAAAAACCTATTTTGCTAAGTTATCGAAGCATTATATAGTCTTATTTAGGTTAGGATGACTTAAACCAGAATTAATACTAATAAAATTGTTGTTAATATTTTTTTATCAATATTATTTTATATAAATATAGATAATAAAATATATTACTTTTGATTCTTTATTTAATTACATTATGATAATCAACATCCTAAAGCATAGACTGGTATATCCTTAATTCTCAATCGCTAAATTGATGATTTTTTGGATATAAAATTTGTAATTGTGAATATAATTCAATAATTGGACTTTTTTATTTAAACCAATTAAAACAAAACTGATGCTAATTGAAATTGGCTATTGTTCTTTGTTTTAAAATAGTGATTATAAAGTTGTTTTATAAGAAAATAATCATTCTAATTTTTAGGAAAACATGTGAGTAATTTTATCACTTTATACTAATGAATAAGAATTTGAACAAAAGAATTTTCAAGGCTAAAAAGTTGATTTCCATTATATTTTTTTAGTTATTTTGACTTTTCTCATATGACAATTGGTGTTTCACCTTCAAATTTTTTTTACTTGGTTGCTTATTTTTTGCTGCTAAATCTATTCATAAAAGATGATTTGTATCTAAGATCAGTGTTAAGCCAATTTGCTTGAGAAGAAATTCTTATTTCATATATAAATATTTTTAGTAAATCAATAAAAATTGAAATAGAGACAAATGAAACATCTTTTAAAAGTTGATGAATGATATCATCATCTTGCTATTCTAATACTAAAGGACTTGAAAAACACGTTTCATTTTCAAAAATTTGTGCATATACTAAAGAAATAGCTTTAGAAGGATCATTACTTTATTGCCAACAACAATAGTTACAAAAAAAATCACGATTATTAAGACAAGTTTTGGTTTTTGACCAACACGAAGAGTGGCATTTTCTTTGTCTGTTGATGTTTTTTACCAATAACAAAGAATATGGACCATAGTGTGAAATTCTTCAACTAGATCAACTAGACTAACTGTAATTGTGCAGTGTTTTGGTATGAATATTAGTCGCACATGTCAGATTCAGAAATGCTGATTTTATAATGCTAATTATCCCCAAATTTCACTATTACGTATAAAGTCACATGATACCGATCTTATCCAGATCGTTAATTAAAGTTTTTGACTTATAACTCAACTCAATTTATTAAAGATTCTAAATAAAATCTTATTTTTCAAAAATTATAATATAGAAATATAGAAATTTTTGAATTAATATAAAAAAAGTATCTAATATGTTAAGCTCAAAATAAATCAATATGCTAAAAGAAAATTTATTACTTTTAAAATCTAACATTCTTATAACCTAGAATATAATATCCTTAAAAGTTTAATAAATGTTAAATATATTTCACTTTCTCTTAGATGTTTATAATATTGTTATATGATCTTTTATTGAGAAATAATTATAATATTCCAATCAATATAATAAAAGAATGTAAATATCAATAGAACAAGCTTTATTATTATCATCCTAATTATTAAGTAAACTTCGGCCTTCTTTAACTTGATGGATAAGAAGTTTATTTTAACTTCACCAAACAATATAGGAATTTGAATAGAATGTGTTAATATTAGTCGACTAATTCAAACTTAAGTTGGATTATATTATCAAAGTTGTCTATTACGCCATAGTCACGTGTCCTGACCGCACGATAATTTTTCAAAGCAATTTTTTACCGAAAGCTATTAACAGCAATCAATTAGGAACAGAGATTATATAATAATATTAATAGTATGAAGAACCCAAATTTAATACTCACAGCCCATTTTAAAATTGACTCGTAAAAAAAAATAAATTCTTCCATTTCCGAGAAATCTCTTGGAATTGTGGCATTGTCGATTTCTTTGATATAATAATAATCTATCCATAATACAATATAAGTCTTTGTTTCACAACACAACAATTTATAATAAAAACAAAGGGTACCTACCGGTAAAACCAAGAGCATACAAATGTAGGTTAAGTTCTATGCTAACAACACCAAAAACTTCCATATCCGGTATTATCAATTTCCTTTTCTTCACCCGATCTTTAACAATGTTTAGTAACATATTTTCGAGGTTCTTGATTATTTTAATTCTATCATCAAGTTCTTTCCTTGCTTTAACTTTATAGGGGCGTGAACCATCAACGAAAACTAACTGATATTTGTTGGAGTCGATCGTAAAGCCAACACCATCTCCCTTTTGACGGTTGATATGATTTATTGATGGAATTTCGCCGCTATTTACGTTTGGCAAAATAAATGAAATGATATTTTGATACATTACATAATATTTAAAGAAAATAACTTACGAAGTATAATATATTTCAGCACAACTCCATAAAGCTGACTTTATACACGGGTGTATATAGTCATTGAGATTAGGTTGTTCTAGAGCTTCTATATTATGGAGTGGATTCATATGTTCTAATGCGAAAGCTTGCAAGCTAAAGATAAAAATAAAATAAGCAAAAGAAAAAAATAAACATCAAGATAAATTTGAACATACACACATACAAATTATCGAGTGATTTAGTAATCATTTTTATTATCATTCTAGTGGTCTCTTCTTTGTGTTCTTTAATATTCAAATTATCTATGGCTTTTGACCACTGCTTATAAGTTAATTTCTTATTATCAAAAAAAAAAAAAACCCCCATATAAGCATATTAGGAGATGATTGCAATTAAAACCGCTTGTAATACAATTTATCCTTACTTGTGAAAAAAAATCAACCAGAAACTTGTGTGTTTCATCCGGGATTAATTTATCATATTGATTTAATGATTCAAGAAAACTTTGATATACATCTAAGGGAAGTTGCTGAATGAAATGACTTTTAGGAGTAAGGTCCATTATTCCTTCTATTGATACATTATTATCATTACTGTTATCCTTATAAAGTTCAAAAGCATCAATGATGCTTTTAATGTTACTTTCAATCAGAATTTCTTTTTTGAGAATTCCATGGATCTTTATCTAAAGATACAATTGTAAAAATATTAGACGGGAAAATACATGTATAAATATATCCGATCTTAAGTTATACCTTATCTAAGTCATCAGTTTGCTGTTCTATTTCAATCTCGCTTTGAACTTCTTGCGTTCTCCGGAAGTCATTCGCTTCAGATGATATTAATTCATCCTAAAAAAAGTAGGTACGGCTAAACGGAAGATTCAGAAGAATACATGTATAAATATATCAGATCTTAAGATATACCTTATCTGATTCATCGGTCTGCTGTTCTATTTCGACTTCTAGCGCTCTCCGAAAGTCATTTGCTTCAGATGATATTAATTCATCCTAAAAAATAAATAAAAAAAGTAAGTACGATACGGTACGGCCAAACGATCAGATCTTAAGATATACCTTATCTAAGTTATCGTTTTGCTGTTCTATTTCGATCTCGTTCTGAATTTCTTGCGATCTCCAGAAATCATTCACTTCAGATGATATTAATTCATCCTAAAAAAAGAAAAAAAGTGGTACGGCCAAGAATGTATTGATAAGATCAATTTGAAAAATGTAGTTTAACACAACGCTTGCTGTTAGGCCTCTTGAAGCATGTTAGAGGGTAACAAACGTCCGCATGAACAGATGCTAGGTCAAGTTTCTTTGACTGTTTGGAAAGATGCATAGCAATTTCCTACCCCCAATAGGATATTCAAAAAAACTTTTTCCAAACACTGAACATTGCTCATTGACAAGCCGCAGCCTTTCCCGTAAAGTGTACGGTATTCAACAAAGTGCTATACATATATCTCCACAAAGACTTATTAGGTTTCTTTAATACGCACCTTTATTTTAAGCTTAGCGACTTTTGCGATCTTTGCATTACTTCCGTATTTATAATGCGTTTCTATCTTCTTTAAATCTTGTTTATACCGAAGTATTTCATTATTTCTATCAAGCTTTTCATGAACTTTAGTTTCGCGATATTTCAAGAAATTAATTAAACTTGGTTTGGTGACGTTTTGCCAATAATCTTCAATCATTATAAAAAGGTTAGTGAAAACATACATTTCAGTACTGCACCTATAGATTCATATTTACCAGACTCTTTCAAGTTTTCTCTAACATCCTTTCTAAGTCTCATCTTTATTAATCATTTAAAGGGAGAATAGGTGAATAAAAGAATATGTATAGGATTTTTACACGTAAACGCGAGTTAAAAATTGTTAACCCCGTGACTGCTTGGTTAGATTTATTCATGGCAAAAAAATCCAATATCTGATTGGTTACGATGTCCAAACATATTAAAAATTTTTATGTAACTATAATTTGGGAAATTAACAAATTAACGGTTAATTAAGGATCCCGGCTAAACTATAGGTAAATTTTATAGTACCTTACAGTAATGAAATAATTAATTCAGTGATAGAAATATTGGATAGAAAAAAAAATATTTTACTCATTAGTTAATATAGCATTAATTTATATTTGGCTTCCATATTTACAAAAATATTTAAGTGATAGAAGATATCAATTATCTAAAGAATCAATCATGTATATTTTATTTTGTTTAACAGTAAAAATTAATAGATTGGTTTTATTAATAGTTTTTACAATTTCGGAGTATTAAATAAATTCTTTTTAAAATTATAAATTAATTTGATAATTTTGGCCTAGCATAATTTATTCAAAAAGTTTGGATTTCAGGCCAAATACAATGAGCGGAATAGCTAAATTAAAATCTGCAAATATACATAATTTCTAAAAAGTCTGGTGTTTGGGTATGTATATATCAGAAGATAAAATAAAGCATTTAAAGTTTAATGAGATCCAATTCTCGAAGATACTATGGAATAACTACATATAATACCAAATATATCTTAGGGTAATCCAGTTTTCTTCGCATAAATCTTTTTTGATTTGATCCCATGTTTGCTGTTTGATAAAATTATTGGGACCTCCTCCGTGAAAGAACTCATGATATTTTTCGTGTTGTACGCCTTGTACTTCGATTGCAAAGCTATATTGTGGATAAAATATATCGAGCTCTAGTTCATTTGGATATTCTTGTGTCTTTAAGAAATCGGGTCTATGGATTGGTGAAGGGACACCAAGATATTATGTTAAAATTCATGACATAGCTTTTCTCTGAAAGGCAATCTCCATTTTTTTACTTGTGCAATATCCTCAATTGTTTGATGATCAATGCACCATTACTCTCTATTTTTAATGTGGTATTTTGCCATTGATGGTTAAATTTTCATCTAAATTTTTATTTGAATAAATAACATTTAATAAAAAAGTTGTTAAATACATTACGCACAACATGTATTTATTCAAGAAATAAATTACTCTATCTTTTTTGTAAATCCGAAATGGAATCGCAAAGCGCGTATCCAACTTTACATCAGAGATATTACAAATAGAAATGATCGATTTTTAAATTTTATCTTTGCCGCAAAAAAAATTTTACTCAATAAAAGTAGCGATCGACAAAATTAAAATGATAAGCTAAATATGAACGTAAGGAAGAAAGTGCCCGAAAGTATGTGTTCAGATCCAGATCCAAAAGTTCGAAGAAAGGTATATATATATATATATATTATTTATATTTTAATGAATTTTTATATTTATTTGGTTTATTCAGAGATTAACTTTGCTTACTTTATCCAATAAAAGCTTCTTGATCTTAAAATTGCCAATAAGTCTTTACTCACCTTAAATGCCAGCTTAAATGAAACTATCAAAACCCAATCTTCTAAATTATCTAGTTTAACCTCTTTTGAATCGATGAAAAATGTGCAACAACTTCAACATGATCATATAGCTAAAGTTGAAGAATTGATGCGTGAATTAACTGGCAAATTTTCATCACAAGAATTAGAAATTAAAAACTTAAAAAACAGCCTTGAAGATAAACATTCGTGAGTATATATGTAAAATTATTTATAAAATTTTTATAATTCCTCTATTAAAATTTCTTTTATATTATAATAGGAAGCAACAACAAAAGGTGAGTCAGTTAAATACGAATAACATATCCAATGAAAGTTTTATGTTTACATTGGCAAATTTTTTGATCTTGGCTTTATTATATGGGATGTTATTTAATCTAAATTTTGAAAACATATGGGCTTTGTTAAAAAGACTAGAGTATCTTTATTCTATGATTCAAGAAACCTCCAAATTAACTCTCTTCCAAGTATAATTTGTAATAGGGGTCAGTTTTTTATAATTTATATCATTAAATTATTCACTTTTTCATTTTTATTTAATTCATGCATCTTTTTTTTTTTTCTTTTGTTTAGTTGTAACGGTTTATGAAGATATTACAATTATATTTTCGGTCGTAGTTTCTTTGATTTACACCATTTATATTCTACCTATAATAGTTACGGCTAAAACTGCCAAACTATTGGCCGATAAATCTAGAGCAAGAATTATGGAGATAACTGGCTAAATTTAATTTATAAATGTATTTTTATATATATATATATATATATATATATATATATATCTTTTTCATTCTTAGATATATTTTTTTTATTACTCTGATCTTATTAAATATATTTTTCCTGTAAAATTAAGGAAAAAAATTGCGATATAATAATTTGGATTTTGTTATGATCTCGAAATTACTTTGATGTTATGTTCTTTTTGGAATGCGATAAATTCATCTTCCTTGGTTTTGTAAGAACGAACAAGATTATCCATAATGCCCTTAATCTATTTCAAATAAATAATATTTAAAGGTTAAATCTTGTCACCATAGAAATTTAATATATATATATTTATGTATCAAATTACCCCATCATAATTTGTTTGCAAAGCTGGTAACACATCTTTCACAGTGCGTTCGAGTAATACTCCATTAACCAAACGGAAACATTTTCGATCATCATTCAAGGGTGATAATGTATCTATAACTGCCCTATGCAATTCATTAAAGTGCGGATGTCCCGAATTAAATAAAAATATTACACGCGTATGAATTCAAACATAGATGTATTATTAACAGGAAAGTTTCCTTAAGAAAAAATCATTCTTACTTATGTTCGTCAGATTCGGATTCTAACTCTCCAATTTTTTGAGCTATGTTCTGTAGCTCTGTTTTCATTGCATTAAATTGGGTTGTTATTTCTGTTTTATAAAAATTGTCTCAGTAAAGAACTTATAAAATGGTAAAAGAGAGTAATCTGATTATCATAAGTGGAATTAGAAAGCATACCCTGATCAGTGAGTTTCTTTGTTTTTGAACTAGACATTGTTGCAAAACTAAGAAGAATATCAGGATTACTCGCGCTTTTTTTAAATCACCATCCGCAGTATATCATCAAATGTTTAATTGATATCACGTGCCATAAGTTCAAACATCTGATCCAAATAAATTATTTCGGACGAGATCTTTACCTGAAAAATTCAATGTTCTCCTCTCTCAGATTTCCATCTGAATATGTTAAGTTTATTATATCCATCTCCTGGGCTTGTAGTTCATGGACTAAAGGTATTTATGAGGAAAAATTCTTTATTTAATTTACTTTATTCTAACATTTTTTTTTTTTTCTTTTTTTTGATAAATAGCATACTTAATGCTTTACAATACGCGTAATGGTATGCCTTTGATATTTCGTAAAAGACTTGCTGATGATGAAAAAAAAATTTTGGCATGCTGGCATATGTTGGTAGGATAAATTTTATGGTCTTTTTTTTTTCCTTTCCTTTTCCTTTTTCTTTCATTTTTCAAATAACATAATCCGGTATCGGAGGTCATGCATTTTTATTTTTTTATTTTTTTACTTTTTTTTTTTTGTGGTCATAATTATTAATGTGAAATTTTGATAATCAAAATAAATAAATATTAAGTGATTTATTTGGGTTATAAATTATTCGACTATTATCACATTGTGTGTATGATATTTATCATTTCAGATTGTATACGTACTTTTACGATGGCTGAAGTTTAAGGTAAAGAATTTTTGAATTAAATGTTTTAAATTGACCTTTATATTAGGTAAGTATCATTTCGTTACTTTTCCAATTAATTAAAAAATTATTTTACATTCTCATCATAGTCTCTTCCTTCTCCACATACTACTCCACTTCCATCACTTGTTGCTTTAATGCCCGCATTACTTTGGAGCTATTTACCAACTTTTCTCATAGAAGAGTTTATTCACTTTTTTACTTTAAGGCACTTTATGCGTGTTCATAATTCCATGTGTTTAATTATCAAAGGACGACCAGTTTTGGAAGGTACAAAAGATGATGATTGTTGTGTCTGTTATGGAATTGGAATCGGGGACGGATCATCTTCATACTATTCTGATCAGGATGATGATGATGATTTATGTGAGAGTACATTAGAAAATTATTGTAAAGTTCCTCATCATGTGGCACATCGAAATTGTATGTTTAAATGGTATACAATGGGAAATACGGGTTTTGTATCTCGTTTAGCGTTGCAAAATTTAAATCTGAGGTTGACCAATGCAAGTTTATTAAGACCAGTTCCTACTTGTCCGATATGTCGTGGAGAAATTATATTTAAAGTTATTCAAAAGGAATTTTTAGAAAAAGAAAAGGCAATTCAAGGAAGGTGGGGAAACAAAAACAATTGGTTATGGAAATTAGATTCATTGATCAAAGATTGGAGAAATGTCATGAATTGGCGTTGGATCGCTGTGAGAGCTGAGATCATGGTCATTTATATTTTAATAGTTTGGAAATTTTTAAAATGGAGAGAAAAATTAACGCGAAACCTTACTTATTATAATCGGACATAATTTAGATCTTTGTATATTATGTTATTTTTTTTTTTTTTTTTTGTGACAAGAAAATATTTACATAATAATAAATTACTGATAATAATAAAAAAAATTTATTATTACAAAAATTATTATTTTTTGTAATTAGTATTCAATTAACTTAATTGAAACTCCTCCTCCTCTTCCTCAAAAGCGGGATCGGACATTTCTTGTGTGAACCACATATCTCGATAGATTCCATCTTCTTTTTGTACAAGAAGATCATGTGTTCCTTGTTCAATTATAACTCCATCCCTTAATACGATTATCTCATCTTGATATTAAAATATAAAATAAATAATCATTATTACATTTAATTAGCAAAATTATATATGTATGCATGCATCTTTTGTGTATTTTGAAGGTTACATACCAGCATCCGCAATAGATCTTAAGCGATGTGCGACAAACATGCTGGTTTTGTTACTTCCCTGAAGGAGGCTTCGGATATTAGATAGAAGTGACTGTTCGGTGTGCGTATCCAAAGCGGATGTTGCCTCATCAAAGAATATTATTGGAGGATCTTTCAAAATCGTTCTGGCTAGCGCAACTCTCTGCTTTTCGCCACCGGAGATCATCAATCCACGTTCACCTACTCGTGTTTCATATTTGTTTGGCAATGACATAATAACATCATGTATACGTGCACGTTTAGCTGCGGATTCAACCTTGTCAAGATCGGCAGTTAATTGACCATAAGCAATGTTATGATAAATCGTATTATTAAAAAGAGAAGTATCCTAAAAGAGAAAACACCAAGATTAGTTGATTAATTAATAAATCATTCAAATATGATAAATTACATTACCTGTGGCACGACACCGATGCTCGCTCTTAAGCTATCTAATTTTACATCTTTAATATTTTGTCCGTCGATAAATATATTACCATTTTGTGGGTCGTAAAAACGGAAAAGTAAACGGAGTAAGGTTGATTTTCTACAAAAAAATAAATTAATATAAAACATATATTAAGTGGAAATGAAAACGCGTCATTTATGGACAAAATCGGTAAAATTTATAAAGTTAGCCTAAACAACACCCAATAATTGAATCATTCATTTACTTTGGTCAGGAACTAGTTCCTTTAATGAAGAGGAATGCACCTTCTTAATTCGAATAAGAAAAAAGATATGGTGTTGCTTTAACTATATATTATTACTTAAAGGGTAAAAAATGACCTACCCACATCCACTTGGTCCGACGATCGCAACTTTCTTTCCTCTAGGTATAGTAAAACTTATTCCATTCAAAATTGGACGATCGGGATGATATCCAAATACAACATCTTCAAACTTTATTTCGCCACCTTTGAGAATTAAAGGTTTTGCGTTAGGTGATTCCTATAATTAAATGTAAATAAGTTAAAAAAAATATATATATATTTGCTTTACATATCTCAATTTATAATAAAATCAATTATCCTGAAAATACCTTAATAGAAACTTCCACTCCTTGTAAATTGAACATAACATCCATATCAATCAAACTTTGACGAAGTTCCCTATATACCGAGCCGAGAAAATTGAGAGGAAAAGATAATTGAAATACGAGTTGGTTAACCATTACCAAATCACCAACAGTGAGACTTCCTTAAAGTCATAAGTATTGTATAGGTTGTTAGCAAGTATTGCACTAATACAACTAAAAAAAAAGTAAAATAAAAATTAAAAATTTCATGTTACCTGAAACAATTCCCTGGGCGGCCAAATACATCATGGCAGTCAATGCACTACTAAATATAACATTTTGACCCGAATTTAGGAAGCTTAGAGATGTCGCAATTTTAAGAGATGCTTTCTCGTATTTCTTTAAAGCATTATCATATTGGTCCACTTCAAATTTCTCATTGTTAAAATACTTTACGGCTTCATAGTTAATCAAGGAATCAACCGCAACCGTAGCAGCTTCATTATCAGCCCGATTTGCCTCTTTTCTAAATTTTGTTCTGTAATGAAAAATATAAGCTTTAAATATACTATTATTATTATCATTATTATTTAAATAAACAATAGTTACCGCCATGATGTAGTTTGAATAGTGAAGACAGTATAAGTTAATAATGTAAGCGCTGTAACCGCTGCATAGTGAGTACCGAAGTTATAGACCTAAATAATAATCAATTTTTATAATTATAGTATAGATAATCAAGAATTGGAGGAAAAAAAAAAAAAAATATTCACCAAAATGCCACACACGATGGAAACCTCCAAAGCGGTAGGCAATACATGAAAAACAAGTGAAGAAAGCAAAAAGCTTATACCTCTAGTTATCGTATCAACATGTACGAGAAATTAAAAGGTTAATAATGATGTTTGCATTTGATAATAAATAATGTTAAGGACAATCGATCCTACTTCGTTCCACGATCAATAGCCCTACTTAAACCACCAGTTTGACGAGATAAATGGAAATTTAAATCAAGTTGATGTAAGTGATTAAACACATTCCTGGCAACTTTACGAATAGCCTTTTGAGCTACATTTGCGAAGATTGCATTCCTTAATTCCTGAAATACAGCCGCGCCAACGCGAGCCGCACCATCTATGAAAATAGAATTGATGTATGAAAAATAAAATAAAATGAAAAAAAAAATAGCCTTTTTTTTTTTTTACACTTACATCCAATTATCACTGCACCAACAATAGTCCATACTGTTCCGAATTGAGTTACATCAACATTTAAAGAATCGACGATATTTTTAAAAAAAAAGGGAACTTGTACATTAAGAAACTAAATATTGAAAAGGGTAATACGAAATTAGTTGAAGCATATAATTAAATCCCTTGATCAAATATTTAACTTGTTAAGACAACACATACTTTTCCTGCGATTAAAAATGATAAGGCGGCAACCACACGAACTTTGACAGCTGGGTCGTCTCTCGGCCATATGTAACCTATTAGAAAAGATGGTATCCTTAATTGATTTTTCAAATTCCTTAAAATTATGAATTTTATGGTTATAAATCTTAATTCCTCAAATTTTCCCCTCTGTAATATATTACGAATTATTATATTATTGTGAAAAATTATAATCATTTAATTTTTATTTTGATCGATTTTTGGGACGGACCTTTTCTTGTTAAAACCCATCCCACTCATGAATGTAATTAATTCTTAATTACAGGTGCCATTTTTACCTATTAGATTTTTAATTATTTTCCAATCCGTAGAAGAATTTGTTACTTTGGTAGTATTTTCAAAAACTGCTTGAGTAGGTTTTGTGAATTCTTTTGAAAGGGTTGTCTGAGATTTATTAGCTAATTGACGAATATTCCATGTCGGCTACAAATATGTGCGAAGAAAAATTCAATTAAAAATTCGTTCAAAATAATAAAAATCAAAAAGTTAAAGTTTGTTGTTATAGAAACTATAAATACATTAGAAATAGGTTGGGTTTGCCCACGGTTCCAGAATCGCTTCCAACATTCAGCATTTTTCGAATAAAATGTCGTTGAACTGGTATTAGTTTTTTTAAGAACAAAGTGGTGTAGCGTTCTTGAATGCAAAAACTGCATCAAAATATAAACTGTTATGAAAGAGACGAGAAATATTAGGAAAAGTTTTTTTTTAAAAAAAATAAATACTAACCGAGTTACAAACTTTTTGCTGAGGTGGTGTTGAAGCTAATAGATTCGAAAGGGTCAAATGAATCGTGACTTTTGTACCTAATCTCTGGTACAAAGTCGTAAGCCCTCTAGCAAACATTACGTTACGATCATGAATGCAGATTATCGGTAAGTAGAAATTCTTGAATCGCTAATTTTTAAACTATTTTATTACAGCATCTTTCTCCGAGTCGACGTTACACGTCAAAAACCAGATCTTATCAAAAAGTTTTTTTTTGAAAAAAATTTTCGTCGAAAAAATTTGTGAAAAAAAAATGGGAAAGGAACGAGCTGTCAAGAAAGAACGCCATAATCCTCTACACGTTCAAATATTAGAAGATAAAAACCCCGGCAGAAAAAATTTCAAAATAAAAACTTTAAAACGAAATCAAGAAAAAGACGATGTACTAAGCCTCCATTTACTTAAATTTTTTTTTCAAAAGTAAAATAACACTTTTTTTATCTTCATTTAGGAATACGTTGAACCGAGTCTTTCTCGGAAAATTCTCACAATTGCAAGAGAGCAACAGGAAGAGCTTGAAGAAGAGTCTAATTTAGACAAAAGTCAAATCAAGTAAGGATAGAATGACGCCGTCATAGTATATTAACCTTTGTAATAATTAACAAGTTTTTAAATGTAAAATAGCAAGGAGGATCAAAGTCAATTATTTTCTTCAATAATTGAAGACGAAAGTGAAGAAGATGATCATTCTGATGAAGAAGAAAATTTTGATTATGAAGAATTGGTACTATCATCATTTACGGTTTATATGTATATCTTGCAAATATTTAATATACATAAATATATCATCCATCTCTCAAATATGCTGAATAGGAAATCGATGAAAACGATCAAGTAATTCTAGAGAAGTTTTTACCAAATGCTCCAAAGGAAAGAAAAACTTTGGCAGATTTGATTATAGAAAAGATCGAAGCACGAAAATTTGCCAAGGATGATACTACTTCAGGTCAGGAATTTATTATTCTATGCTACGATAAAGTTATTAATAGTAAAATACATTTATGATTTGTAGCATCTCAATCCTCAGCTATAAGTCCAAAGGTCGTTGAAGTTTATACAAAGTACGTATGTGAGTATGTAAGCTGTATGATAATAATAAACATCATAAATACCTTAACAAATCTGCAAATATGATAGAGTTGGCACCCTTTTAAGTCGGTATAAGTCCGGAAAACTTCCAAAAGCTTTCAAAATTATCCCATCATTATCCAATTGGGAAGACATTTTGTACCTTACACATCCTGAAAATTGGACTCCGCATGCGACTTTTCAGGCCACCCGAATTTTTGTTTCAAATCTTAAGGCAAATCAAACACAAAGGTAAAAAATGAATTGAATGCGGTTTAATATAAACACAATGCTTAATACTTTATCATTTAATTGTACCAGATTTTTTGATCTCGTCCTTCTCGAAAAAGTTCGAGATGATATTCAAGAGAACAAAAAACTCAATTACCATTTATATATGGCTCTCAAAAAAGCTTTATATAAACCAGCTGCCTTTTTTAAAGGAATCTTGTTTCCTTTATGTGAAGTAAGAAATGAACGAATGGAATCTTAACCATATTAAATTTATTGTATTTAACATGTTTGCATTTATAGTCGGGTACTTGCACTTTAAAAGAGGCGGTTATCATTGGTAGCGTAATCTCAAAAGTAAGCATACCTATGCTTCATTCTTCTGCTGGTTTGTTACGACTCGCTGAGATGGAATATTCGGGATCAAATAGTTTATTTATTCGGATATTGCTTGATAAAAAGTACGCGTTACCTTATAAGGTGGTAGACGCGCTGGTTTTTCACTTTATGCGGTTCAAAAATGATGAAAGAACCATGCCGGTACTATGGCATCAATCTTTCTTGGTTTTTGCTCAGAGGTATCTAACGAACAATATTTCGTTAAAAATATTTTGTTTTTATTTATTTTTTTATCCTTATGAATTTGTATTTTCAAATTACAGGTATAAACAAGATTTAACTCCCGAACAAAAAAATGCGCTTCTTGATGTATTAAAGGTGAAATCTCACAATCTTATAACGCCAGAAATTCGTCGTGAAATTGTTAATTCTGTTACACGTGGCGAAATAATGGTTGATGAAATGGAAATTGTTTAACTTTTTTTTTTTTTTTAAAAAAATAAAAATCGAGAAACCATATTTTGACACGTAATTAGTATTACATGAATTAGTATTACATAAATGCGACTTACATCATTTACCATTTTACGCATATTTGATTAACATTGATTGACCAATAATTAATTGACAACCAAAAAAATAAATCCGTTAAATAATCTCTATCCAATAAGATATTGCCAACATTTATGTTAATTTGAAAATTTTTTCGTTTATATAAAGGTCGTCTTCTCTTGACTTTTTTTATCGTCAAATTTTATATTTCAATCTTCCCGATTTCCCTTATCCCAACTTTTTTTTTTTATTTTTTTTTCGATTCTATTGTTCAGATTGGTACTTTTATAAACCCCTTCCCATAGGACACATTTAAAATGAAGAAAGTAACTTTCTTCAAATTCATTGCAGTGTTATGTTCACTGTTAATAGCCATTCCTATTGCAATAGTAATTGCTGATGAAAGACCTGATGTTGGTACAGGTATATATTCGTTAGTGATTCTTGAATTTATTTGGGATATTGAAAATATTGAAAAGGATGTTCTTTCAACATCATTATCGATTTGGTTTGATTTTACTCCTAATTTTCTAATCGCTAATAATAATAAAAAAACTTTATAAACCACAGTTATTGGTATAGATTTAGGTACGACCTATTCTTGTGTAGGTGTTCACGTAAATGGAAGAGTTGAAATATTAGCCAATGACCAGGGTAATCGTATCACACCTTCGTACGTTGCCTTTACCGATGAAGAACGTCTAGTCGGTGATGCAGCAAAAAATCAGTTTGCCAACAACCCTCAAAACACCATTTTCGACGCCAAACGATTGATTGGTCGTCGCTTTACCGACAAAGAAGTTCAACAAGATATGAAACACTTTCCATTTAAGGTTATTGACAAGGACGGTAAACCGGCTATTCAAGTCACCGTAAAAGGTGAACAAAAAGTATTTACACCAGAAGAAATATCGGCCATGGTTCTTGGTAAAATGAAAGAAATTGCCGAATCATATTTAGGCAAGAAAGTCACACATGCGGTAGTTACGGTTCCAGCATACTTCAATGACGCTCAAAGACAAGCCACAAAGGATGCTGGCACTATTGCTGGTCTTAATGTCCTCCGTATTGTAAATGAACCCACAGCCGCTGCTATCGCATATGGTCTTGATAAATCCGATGGTGAACGTCAAATTCTAGTCTATGATCTTGGTGGTGGTACCTTTGATGTCTCTCTCTTGTCAATCGATGATGGTGTTTTTGAGGTTTTGTCAACTGCTGGTGATACACACTTGGGAGGTGAAGATTTCGACAACCGGGTTATCGATCACTTTGTTAAGGTCTATAAAAAGAAGAATAAGGTTGATGTTACATCGGATTTAAAAGCCATGGGTAAATTAAAGCGTGAAGTTGAAAAGGCCAAGCGTACTTTATCCTCCCAAATGTCAACTCGTATTGAAATCGAATCATTCCACGATGGAAAAGATTTTTCTGAAACTTTGACTCGTGCCAAATTTGAAGAACTAAACAACGATCTCTTCCGTAAAACGATAAAACCTGTTGAAAATGTGTTGAAAGATGCAAATATTGAAAAGAAGGATGTACATGATATTGTTCTTGTAGGTGGTTCCACCCGTATTCCCAAAGTTCAACAACTCCTCGAAGAATTCTTTAACGGCAAAAAGGCTTCCAAAAATATTAATCCTGATGAAGCTGTTGCATATGGTGCCGCCGTACAAGGTGGTATTCTTTCTGGAGACGAAAATGTCAAAGAAGTTCTATTGGTTGATGTTTGTCCTCTTACTCTTGGTATTGAAACGACTGGTGGTGTAATGACAAAATTGATTCCTCGTAATACTGTAATCCCCACAAAGAAGTCACAAATTTTCTCAACCGCCGCGGATAATCAACCTACTGTTTTAATTCAAGTTTTTGAAGGTGAACGATCTATGACTAAAGATAACAACTTGCTTGGCAAGTTCGAATTGACAGGCATACCACCTGCACCACGAGGTATACCACAGATTGAGGTTACATTCGAAATTGATGCCAACGGTATAATGAAAGTATCTGCGGCTGATAAGGGAACAGGAAAATCTGAATCGATTACAATCACCAACGATAAAGGTCGTCTCTCCAAAGAAGAAATCGATCGTATGGTTGAAGAAGCTGAACAATTTGCCGAAGAGGATAAGATTCAAAAGGAACGAATCGAAGCCAGAAATCAACTTGAAAACTTTGCATACTCTCTCAAAAATCAAATTGGTGATGATAATGACCTTGGCAAGAAACTCAATGAAATGGACAAGAAAACTATTAAAGATGCAATCAAGTCAGTTGAAGATTGGTTAAATGAACATTCAAATTCGGCGATGAAAGAAGATTTTGATGAAAAACGAGAAGAATTAGAATCTATTGTCAATCCAATAACTTCAAAATTGTATGCGGACCAAACTCCACCTTCACAAGACGATGAAGAGCCACCATCTCATGATGAGTTGTAGAAAAAAAAGAAAAATCTAATAATAATAAAAAATTAATTTAGCTTAGACTTTACAAACAAAAAAATTATTAATTTTTATAATTGCAGTTTAAATGTTCAATGTTTAAATAACAAAAAATTTCAAAGCATCGTGTTGATGAAAAAAAAAACAAGAACATTACAAAATTTTGACATTTTTGCATTATTTCAAATAAAATTATTATTTTATTGATTTTATAAAACGTTGATTATTGAGCTTATTTCTAAATGCAATTTTTTTTTAAAATTATAAAAAGTGCGTCCTTTCTGTAAATATCACGTGATAAGTATTTTAAAAAAATTTTTATTTATACATGGGTCTGGGATTGGTAAATTAAATCACGTGGATATCGTTTTTTAAATCGTATATAACAATAAAATATTTTTTTTCTTAAATCACATTTTTTATTATGGTACTAAGTAAAAAAATTTTGACTTAATAAAAATTCTATAAAATCATAATTTTAATAAATTATTTATATACAAATCTAGAAAGTTTTAAATAAAAATTCAAATAAAATTTAATTTAGTATTTGGTAATTACAGATAATTTATAGTAAAAAATAAAAAAATTATAATTTTATTTTATAAACTATTATATTTTTTTTTTAGTAAATAATATAATTTAAAATTTTTTTTGAAATTTTCTTTGTTTTACTATAAAATACTTATTACTAGAAAATGGAAAATCATTGTTAAATTTAAAATGATCTTAATAAATTTATATTGGTATTTACTTTATCTAAACTTTTATACAATTATAAAAGCCAATTAACATCAATTCAAATATTAAATGGATAAATAGCAAGATATTTTTGTAATTTAAATTAGATACATTCTTAATTTATTATTATTTATTATATATAAATTATCTTTAATTTACTTAATTTTATAGTTTATAACAATATAATCAATAAATATTAAAAAATCTATTTAATTTATAGATGTCTGCCAAAACCTCCTCAAAATAATTTCGTCATATCCTTTTCTATATTTTTAATATAATTTCAACAGTTTCATCTTTCATCGTATTGAAAGGGTTTTGTCATATCCCTTATTATGATTTTAATATAGTTTCGTCTAAGTTTTAATAAGAGGTTTCATTCCTCATCTATAATTTAATTATTTTTCAATATTAATAATTCTTTTAATATTATATTTAATTTATAATAGAAATTATGAATAAATAAAACATAATAATCTAAATAATCTTTTTTAAAATTTATAAAAAAAGTTATAAATAAGGACAGTGTCATTTATTACATAATATTCATTTACTATAAGCTTATATACTGTCATTGGATTCGTTTTCATTTATCTTAATGTCTAAGTTAAAAGGCTACGGTAGCTGATTTTACACGTTGGAGTTTCTGACCTTAGGATTTTCTCTAAGTCCTATAGGTATCCGTTATACTTGAATCAACTCAACAATTTATCACGTCTTAAAACTTAAGATATATTAGTCGAACTCGTAATGATGAACTCAATAGCAAGTTAGTGTAGTGTATCATAACAATCCTAGGTGAAGGACAATGTTGAAGGGAAAAGTAGTTTGTATGGATTTAAATTGATTCCTTTATTTATAACTTGAAACTCGCAAAAGAGTTTATAAACTTGCAAAGGAGTTAATTTGCAACTTAAGCAAAAAGCTATTCTATTTATACAAAATGATTTTGCTACAGCTAGCTATTTGCTACGCTATAAATTAACTAAATATAGATATATGTCTCAATAAAAATATACTTAAATATAATAAAATAATAA